CCATCATCGAAGAGTACAGGTATTTCTACACAATTGTCTACACAACATACTGAATGTCCGTTGGTCAGATACCATCAGCAACGACCTACTATGGAGGAGAATAAACCAACTTTCATTTGAAGAGGAAATTAGGAAAAGGTGTTGGAAGTGGATAGAACATACATTGAGGAAATCACCAGACTGCATCACGAAGCAAGCGCTAACTTGGAATCCTGAAGGTAAGCGGAAAAGAGGAAGGCCAAAGAACACACTACGTCGAGAATTGGAAACAGACATGAAAAGGATGAATAGCAACTGGAAAGGATTGCCCAGGACAGGGTTGGACGGAGAATGATGGTGGGAAGCCTATGCTCCTCCAGAAGAGGTAACATGTGTAAGTACATTTCACTACTGAGAAGGTATAAAACGACGATTCTCACCAAGATAATACTTTTGTAGAAACTGAAACGAAATAAATAAACATATACTAGTTACTCAATGAGTTTAGGATAATTTCCTGTCAGTATGGAGCACCAGTACTTGCTTATTCTATTATTAACCTTTATAAAGATCTGGCCCTTCTCCTGATAGAAATAGTGCTGGACAATGCATAGTATTTTTGGTGCAAATGTTAAAGGTAGAATCATTGTTAATTGATATACAATTCTAGGATTTCAAAGTTACTTCGAAATATCGTTACCCTTAATTAAAAACAATGTCCTGTGCGGTGTCAATCTGAATTACTATTTCTATATTTCATCTTTGTTTGTATACAGTTGTTGATTGGTGTTTTGAATCCGATTCCTTTACTTTTCACCTTGTTAATTTATTTTCTTCGTAATGATGTTAAAATTACAAGTGATCTTAAAGTAATTTACAGATACACTGACATTTCAACTAAGGTCAATCCGTAGCTGCTACCTTGCCTATCGTGATGACGCAACCGAGTTATATTGGCTGGGACATATGTTCCTGTGGGTTCTACCATGCCAGGTAGGTCGATTGGAGAACGGTAAGACTAAAAGCAGCAACTCAAGGTCTGAGGGCGAAGTCGTACTGCTGACTGTAGAAGAGTGTGACAGCACTAAGGTGTTTCCCTCGGACAACCAGCATCTGCAGCGATGCTGCCTTCTCACGAGGAGGGGAGAGGTTAGAAAAGGTCGACCCTAAAAGTGTCACACCTCAGCTTACCTCACGGATTTCCGTCTCCGGCGGTAGGGCCCTTTGATGAACGGAGCTAACACATTAAAAACCTTCCACGAAAAGGCCTCAAGCAGTTGCCCCTCGGGCTCTGAGGTCACGCTCCCAGGTCGTTAAGACCAACACTAATTCAATTTCCTTTTCAGATTCCTCAAGAAATACCCTTCCACGGTGTAGGCAACCGGGAAGTGATATCAGCCCTCATACCCGTAACAGCACACGAGACCAAGTTGGTCACATTCAAATCCTTCCTACACCTCCTAATACCTCTCTTATCTCCATGACTAACCCTTCTCACGTCTCTTTATCACCCAGCACCGCTAGGGCAAACGATTAGAGTACGCGGAACGCTATTCATGGTCTCCTGAAACTACACGTAGGGGCTTTTAACGTCCGAACACTGTGCCAAATAGGACAGCAGGCTTCCTTAGCTAGGACTTTAGAAACCCGCGTCATCGATGTGGGCTGCATCTCCGAAACGCGTATACAAGATCCGAGTAGCGTCATTCATTTGACTTCACCATGTCAAAATAACGAACCAACTCGATTCACATTTCGTGTATCTGAAAGCCCTGATGCTGATCCCTTGGACTCGCTGGCTTAGGTATAACATTGAGTCTTAGGGCATAATTAGCTCTCTTAGACTGGATCCCAGTAGACAGTCGTTCGTGCGCCGTCCGACAAAACGGAACAGTAGAGACTCGGAAGTATAGGGACACTCGTCGGTGCCTCTTCGTCGTCTCTGCCTATTCTCCCACTGACTGCAGAGCAGATGATGTAAAAGGTGAATTTTACAGGAAGATTTCCAACCTACTATGAAAAGCTAGGCGCTCTGATGTAATAGTGGCTGGTGACTTTAATGCTCAAGTAGGTAAACTAAGCGAAAGAGAAAGACACCTGGGTGGATCTTATGGTGTCGTGGCTCAAAGAACAGATAATGGCGGTCGTCTGTTGCAGCTATGCTCGGATAACTGCCTGTTTCTTGCAAATACTAACTTTGAGTATAAGGAAAAACATCTTTTGACATGGCGACCCCCTAATTCGTCCCAACATTGGACCCAAATAGATCACATCGCTATCAGCCACCGATAGAGGGGCTCGATAGAAGACTGTCTCTCATTCTGGAGCACATGCTTAGACTCAGATCATGCTCTAGTGCAAGCGCGTATTTGTATGCGTCCTACTGGACGTAGGAAAGACGCTGCAAGGAAACCTCTTAGGGTTCTACTTAATGATAGTCAAGCTAAGAGTATATTTGAGGAACAACTAGAGGAACAGTTAGGCAGCCATGTATGTGATGCCCACCCCGAGGCAGCATGGAATGACGTCCGAAAAACTGTGGAAACAGTAGTGACGTCTGCAAGTACGGTAAACCATAAGGTAAGGGAGAAACACTGGATCACAGCAGCATCTACAGCACTGATAGATGCTAGAAAACTCATCCCATTTGGCTCTGAACATGACAAAGAGCGGAATCAGCTTAAGCGCAAGCTGACAAGAAGTCTACGCAATGATCGTGAACAGTGGTGGGTAGCGAAAACAAGAGAGATGGAAAAGGCAACGGCAATAAGTAACAGCAGATAACTGTTCAAACTTGTCAATGAAACCGGTATTAGGAAACTGACTGTTAGCGAAACACTCTCAGGGAAAGATGGACATATTATTCATTCTCAATCCAGGAGATTGGATCAATGGGCAGAACACTTTAGGGATCAGTTCAACTGGCCTTCAGCCACACATCGGTTTCCCACGATCTCCAGTCGACCTGAATGGAAAGTTGACGTAAGTCCTCCAACTCTCTACGAAGTTGAAAAATCTATGGGGAATCTGGAGTGAGGGAGAGTAGCAGGTCCTGACAGGTTTACTCCTGAGATTTTTAAGGATGATGTTTCAGTATTAGCAGCAAGATTGACTGAGGTTTTAAGCAGAACCTGGGAACTGGACGTAATCCCATCTGACTGGTCTCAATCACTGATTGTGCCGGTCTATAAGAAAGGACAAAAGTTCTCTTGTGACAGTCACAGAGGAATCAGTTTGACTAATATAGTGTCTAATATATTAGTTTCAATAATTCTTCGACGCCAAACTAAAGCTCGTGAAGAACAGACCAGAAAAAATCAGGCTGGTTTTCAATCTGGACGTGGTTTTATAGACCAGATATTCACACTATGTCAGGTCCTAGGACATAGATACACACTCAGACGCCCCACAATCGTTGTATTTATCGACTATAAGGCGGCATTCGACTCTGCTGATAGATTCGGTGGAAGTGTTTGCCACTGAAAGGAGTACCAAAGAAGTACATTAACCTTATAAAGGCTCTCTACTCGAACACAACTGGTCGAGTGAGAGCTTATGGCGAACTGTCATCAGAATTGATTACCTCAAGTGGTGTTCGTCAGGACTGTCCACTCTCTCCATTCTTGTTTAACTTTGTCGTTGACGTGCTTCTAGAGATAACACTTTCCTCATCTGAATTTCCAGGGGTTGAACTTCTACCAGGAGATTCACTTGTTGACTCAGAATATGCTGATGACATAGTTTTATTTGCTGAAGACGCTGACAAAATGCATTCTGACCACTCTAAGCAACAATGCAAGCATGTTCGGGATGCGATTCTCCCCCTCGAAATGCAAAATGTTGCTTCAGGATTGGGTTGCATTGACACCCGAACTAATGGTAGGGAGTGAAGTAGTTGAGCGTGTCGACCGCTTCACTTATCTTGGAAGTCTCATCAGCCCTTGTGGTCTAGTGTGTGACGAAATCTCAGCACGCATACAAAAGGCTAAACTAGCTTTTGCCAACATGCGTCATTTATAGAGTAGGCAAGATATCCGTCTGTCAACCAAAGGACATGTTTACTGCTCAGCAGTTCGTTCCGTCCTACTTTATGGCAGTGAAACATGGCCGGCAAGAGTAGAGGATATTCGTAGGTTACTAGTATTTGATCATAGGTGTCTTCGAAACATTGCTCGTATATCCTGCGACCACCGGATAAGTAATGTAGTTGGTAGGAAACGGGTACTAGGTAAGGATGGCAAATCCATTGATGAAGTAGTGAAACTTCATCAGTTGAGATGGCTGGGACATGTGTTACGTATGCCCAACCACCGACTACCCCGACGTGAGATGCTTTCTGGTGTAGGAGTACGTTGTAAGAAAGCTAAGGGCGGTCAGACTAAAACATGACACAAATCCATGAAGTCACTGACAAGTGGACTGAGCCATGTTGATTGGTGTAGACTACGTGGTTGGGGACCGCGAGATGATAGCAGCCGATGGTTAGAGACGTTGAGTGACATGGCTCAAAATAGTTGGCAATGGCGCAGGTGCATGCACTCTTTGTGTTCTCCCAAATTCTAATCTTCTGAATTCTTCATATCCCTTATTTTCATTCCAAATTTCTTTCACTGGATTATACTCCTTGAATAACATCTTAAAACCCTAATCTTTCCGATTACTGCTTATACTCTTACTACCTCTACCACTACGGGATTTCGATCGACAAATACATCTCTGTTCTAATGTGGAATGGCAATTCAAACTGATTTACGTACGTACGAAGTTCTATATTATTACTTACTGACTGTAGACTTTATCAAGTCATGTTGTAATATTTCACTGGGAATAGGAGTAGTGAGGACTTTACAACAAACATATTTCTGATTATCACATACAACGAATAAAATAATTATGTAAGGAATATGAGAAAAATTTTATTTTAAAAATATGTCCTTGGCTGATTTGAGTATATATAAAAACAAAAGTAAAACTAGTCCCTGACAAAAACGTCCCTCATTTATTTTGATATACCCACATTGTCATCGTCTACGTTTTGGAGTTGGTGACCGTGAAACTGAATGTAGCCCGGACCTGCTAAAATAATAAACAAAGATAATAAACTATTTAAATTATAGATTTTCACATAAACAGGAAAAATACATTGATATTTTCAGGTAAAGACTCCAGAGAATATTACGAAGAACTTATATCACACAATCAAAAAACTAAGATGAAATTTTTAACAAACGGTCGTTCCTATGTACTGACTTCCATGTATTTCTTATTTCTAATTATGCAAATGAATACGACAAATATGCTTAATAAATGTAAAAATTTCATGATTTTCTGAAGATTTTATACTATTTGAAGGTAATTGTCACCACAGACTTATATTAACTAAGCCATATGGCTTTGAGTTATCTGGTTGCTCTTACCGAAACATGTACAGATGGAATTAGAACCTGTTAATTAATTGTTGAAAGGTGGGTTTATTCATCATCAAGCCACTGATCTCAACGGCACTGGACAAACATTTTGTTTCAGATAAGTGTTCTTCAGCCGAGGACATTGATGACCCGACTAGTTCTTCAGCAAAACTTAGTTAATGGTGAAAATTATTCTCGAATAAACATGATTTACGTTTTTGCCCAGGCATGATGCTGATCCCAACGTATATGATTGGTTTACATCAATCCATAGCTCCAAGAAATGGATATTTTTGCCATATACTGTAAAACTACAACTATTGGTGTTTCTACATGAAAGAAATAGTTATCGATTGATCTATATTCTTTGTAAATCAAATATACCTCATGAGTATACGAACTACAATGTATGCATAGTGAGTGATGCATTGTTACGATTAAAAAGGTATTAATCAACTGAAAAATAAACAATACTTATATGATTCAAGCACATTTTAAGTAAGATTCAATTGCTCAGAAGTCAGTCATTAAGCGAGGTGCTTACTTGACATAAGACAACTATACAAAGTATGAGACTTACGTATTAGATTGACGCATCTTTTCGGGAGACTGATTTGTAGAACTGCAAGTTGAGCAATACGAAGAGGAACGTGAAGATGAGGATGAACAAGATGATGATGAAGATGAAGGGACATCTGGAAAGTGCTCGGAGAGATTTATGTTGTCTGCGATCTTCGCTAAATCAGGTCGATTAATTCTGAGAGCAGCTAACCACCTTTTAGCAAATTTTGGTCTTTTCCGTGCAGTTTTGTGCCATACAATAGGAAAGTTAGTAGAACTAGAATTATTAGGAAAGAAAAACTGAGTGGCCATTGACAAAGAATATAATTATTTGAACATATAAACATTGGTACAAAGGGGCACAAAATACATATGCACCACACAACAATGAGGCAAGTAGCAGTTATCATTAATTTGTGTGAGAGCTGTGATACTGCCCGGATGCCCAAACTGAAGCAGGTGGTTTTCTTAGAGGGTCACACCCGGAGCCTTTGACCTCAAGGTCTGATCCACAAGGCAGTGGGGCATCGTAAGGAGATGCATTCCCATGGTATCCAGTGACCAATGATTGGTTCGTACACCATTTGTTTCCTAGGGATCCTGGAGCTCATGTACACCATTGGTTTGGAATCAGGGTTTTCCAAATCCCCTAGGATCCTCCGTGTCCACCGACCCGGTTAAAGCGCCGGACACAAAATCCCCAAACCAAACTTCGTAAGAACATTTTCCACAACTAGGCTGCAATGGCAATCAAGTGTATTTAATCCACAAAGCTACTTATAATTTGCCTGTTAGTTTTTGATATGAAACTATAACATTTAAAGCTAACAGGATAAAAATAGCGAGTTCTTTGTCATATTGGTTAAGGGGATTTACATCACAGGAAGGTGAGTTATCACAAGTCATCAAAACATGTAGTCTTGATGTGCATCATATAGCTCTGGATAATCTAGTATTTAGAAAATCACATTATGAACTATCGACCACGCAAATGTATAACCTTTACAAACTTTTCGAATGGGTATCATACTAACCTGCAAAAGTTTTGCGTAACAGCGATGGTGTTAGTTAGGTTAAGAACAACATGCCACCAACCACCAGGAACGAAGACCGTCTCCCCAGGACATTGAAGTATTTCAAGAGGGGCATACTCTGTTGGCCAGTCAGATGCTTGTGTGCGTGGATATACATACACGAACCAAGAGATGGCTTCGTTTCGATTCTTGCCACCATCAGACGGTTTCGGTTTAACCAGTTCTTTTGGAGTTCGCGGTGGAAACAAACACCACCTAAAAGGGATTATAGTTAATACGCATTTTGAAATAAGCTTGAAACAAAAAGAAATAGACATTGAGAGTGAACGAAGTTAATTGAAGTGAGATAACAATGAAATTCATTTAACATAAACTAAATGTGATTATCCTTGATGAATTTAAAAGCTGACGAAAATGGCTATTTGTTCGGTACAATTTACACAAAGTACTGCTACTATTTAAACATACATAAGGATACTTTACAGGCTGGAGATATCAAATGTACAAAGTGCATCATAGTAATTGGGTACGGTTACACACCTACATTTGAATAGATGAATTATTCTAATCTTTCCACTTATTATCACTCATATATTTGTCTTTGTCAATTACTCAAGTGTAACATTAATTATGTTTTATAAATCTTTGAACGATGAGAGTGTGTCGATTTGAAAACTGAGTCAACTATAACTCTCAGAATCGGTAGATAGATAGATAGTCAGTCAATCACAACGTAGAATCTGTACATCTGTCCAAGTTGCCATACCACATTAGTACTGAGATAAACTTATCAGGTCAAATCTCAGAATAGTAGAGGTAATAACAGTATCAGTTGTAATAGAAAAGGTTAAGCATCGAAGATACAACTCGAAAACGAAATATAAATTAGTGAAATGAAAACAAGTAAAGTTACAAGAAATTCAGAATCGCAGGATTTGGGCGGAGACAAATAGATAGGACAGATATACAGGATGGGGTAGGATATTATAACTTGTGGTCTTGCGCCCTATTAATATATAACCGATCGAACCAAATGACGCATAAACCCGTACGAGCAGTCTAGAGTCTTTATCGGTCCTTCTTCCTGTCTAGACCTGCCCGTCGAGTCCAGAATACAAATCTCAGCCTCCGCGATGTGAATAAAATGTTTCAAACATACTGGATTTATATGCAAACCAAACAGACCACAACACATCATAAAATAGAAAATAACACTTGTACAAGATCAAGCCAAAAGTGGCTGTGATTGTGGGAGACTGTAATTAATAAACTGAGCATAATTTAAGAATGGTAAATCGCATAATAATAGTCTATAGGTCAAGACAAATCTTATAATAAGAGGAATATGAACATACATAGTTTAGCTACTTGACAATTATACAATAAAAATATATGTATGGTATTAGCCCATAAATGGATTCCAGCAGTCACCATTCATTATTCTCGTCGGGATATAACGTAGGGTAGGATAAGATAGATAGTACAGGTTAGAATCAGTTAGTCATTCCTTATTTCCGAAAAGCATATAGACTGAATAAGAAGTTGGTTGAAGATGTCTATGATTGTTTATACTTAGAGATAACATTATTTTATAGATTTACTGATCCAATCCACAAAAGCATTCCCAAGCAGCACAGCTTGGGCTCATAAAGTCAGCTTAATAAATAGTTTTAGAATAATTGGTATCTCACAATAAGCAGAATTGGATGTTTCCCTTGATTTTCTTAAGTCTTCCCCAACTTCTGCCTCTCTGTACCTTTTTCAACAATAACAACATATTATTTACTAACATTTATGATTGTTGATACTTTCTGTTTGGAAATGAAGTGTGGAGAATGGCACCGGTACGTCACGCATATATATATATATATATATATATATATATATATATATATATATATATATATATATATATATATATATATATATATATATATATATATATATATATTATTTTGCTTAAAGTAAAACTAATAGAGTTAATAATGCTCCTAAATGTTTCAGGTAGTGTTAAGCATAGAGACCTAGATACTGGAAAATGAACTTAAATTGATCTGGAAATATCCTTATATGAATTTGTAATAGGTTGCGACGTTACTGTAAATAATAATGATTTTCAGAGTTAGTCTAGTTATCAATTCAACTTTTGGTTAAATACTCTGGTTCCATTGATTTAGTGTGAAAGTACTGTTATTCAAAAGATAACATGGGTAGTCCCACTGACCAACTAATATTAGAAGTTTGAAAGGAATTCGCAGTAAAGAAGAATTCTGTGCATAAAATGAAATAAATATACTTTAGTAATCATTTATATGTTCTTACCTTGACGTATCAGGAATAGTGTAAGTGCTAGTAACAATGAGAAGGATGGTCATTTTGCCCTGTGTATCTGTTCTCAATCAACATTTAGCTTTTAAGAAAACTAAAGCTTGATGTTTGACCTGATTTATTTACCACTTTATAATTGACAGGAATACGTTCATAAAGTTCTTCAACTATACTCATAATGGGAAACAAAGTAAAACCAATCATTCTGGATCAAAAGTACACCACTTGGAGCAATTACCTTTTGTATCCTCTTACTAGTGCATTCCAAGCACTTGTTCCAAGAGGATCAATATGTATACCCGTACCAGAACGTGGAGGACCCATTACAAACCATCTGAATGCAAAAGATGAAAATGGTTTTATGACAATGATTAGAAAAGTAAACTGTAATAACAGCGATGTTATGGCCCCTACAGAGATATCTAGGGCTAATAACGAGTATGAAATTAAAGATATAAACAAAATTAGTCAAAGTACAGAATAAAAAGCACTAAAGCCGTTTTAACTATACCTTACATGGATTAAGAAGAAGGGTGTTTACTTACTAACCTGAACATAAAAATTTATTACAGTCGGATAACAAGAAATCCATCACACAAAACACACGGATGATTTTGTGAGTAAATGGACAGGGGGGAAAATAGTAAGAACAATAAATACAACTCAGATAAGCTAGTGTTTATGCAGTAATTTTTCGATGTTTTTATTTCAGATCACCGTAATGTCTGAGGCCTATAATATACGGAATCCTACTATAGGATTTTATTTATTTGAACAAATAAATATTGGTACAAGGGGGCACCATAGACATATGCGCCACACGAAACAATGAGAATAGAAAGGGAAAAAAGAAGGCAAGGTAGGTGTAGCAAAAAAAAGAACAATAACGACCACAGATTAAAGGTAGTGTAATAATAATAATAATAATAATAATAATAATAATAATAATAATAATAATAATAATAATAATAATAATAGCAATGACAGTAATAATAATAATAATGGGGGAGACGGAAAAGTACAACCAGAAAGAATTTTTTCAGTTAAAGAAGTTACGGTCACTTTTTATTAAGAAAGTAAAAGAAGGTTACAGCAGGATCGCCACTGGCTTCTATTCTGAGGCATATCTGATAACGTCTCTAGCCACTGTGTAGCACCATCTCTAGGACCCCAACCAGGGTGTCGTGAAGAACCAACAGAAGCTAGTCCTGTGCAGCTTCCTCCCATACCACGACACCATGTCATACACTGACCACCTCTCCGCTTTCTCTAACCAGTCTGAGCGTCGGTAAATAATGCACGACGTGGAATTCTCTGGGACGACATTCGTAGAACGTGTCCAAGCCACCGAAGTCGATGTTCCAAGATGGTGACACCAATTGGATTATCGTCTCTGCGCCCGAACACACGACGCCGAACCCCTGCATTACTCACATGGTGTCGCCACTGGATGTCAGCAATCCTTCGGAGACAATGGTGATCAAACACAGAGAGTCGTCTAACATCCTCAACTCGGAGGCCGGGATTCACAAGCATAGAGCAAAACTGCTCTCACCGACGCGTTGTAGACCCGACCTTTTACAGCCAGACTGACAACACAAAAGCCCCAAAGATGGCCAAGATTGGTTCATACGCCATTTGTTCCCGCAGGATACTGGAGCCCATATGGACCATTGGTTTGGAATCCAGTTAAAGCGCCGGACATTCGCTTTTCGTCCTCTCAATTTCGTAAACAACACCCCGCCAAGAGAAGGCAGTGAGTAGGACTTCCCCGGCAGAGGCTGTATACGCATGGCCATGTGAGAGCATTTCGAGAGGGGGGCGGGCCCACCCCACTCTCGGCCATACCAGGGCATTTGGGGGTACCCAGGTGCAAGAACTTTTCGACTACTTCTATATGCTCACTACCCAGAGTGAGGGCAGGATCAGGGTCCTGTCAGTCTTGTAAAAGTACTTTACACTTCGAAGGTGCAAAGCACATGCCTTGTCTACAAAGTGATTGCCAACTGATTAATTGCGGATTGCATGGCTTGAGCATTATCGCACAGTAGGACAATATCATCCGCATATACAAGGTCGAAAAGTCTTTCTCCAGGCAACAGATCCACACCGCCATTACTTACATCCATCAGAGCCGTTTCCAGAATGTCATCGATGGCTAAGTTGAGGAGGAATGATGAGATTGGGCAACCCTGCCTAACCCTACTGCTTGAGTGGAACAGTGGAGCGAGGTGGTTACATGCTCTCACTCTGCCTGAGGTATTTGTATATGGGGCTTTTGGAATGTTAATAAACTTCTCAGGCACACCCTTCTTCAATGGACAATCCCAGAGAGCAGTACTGTCCGACGAATCGAAGGCAGCCCTGATGCCAAGAAACACTACGATTGTTGGCATGTTGTAAGTATGACGATGTTCCAACATTTGGTGGAGGGTGAAGATATGATCAATACATCCTCGACTAGAATGAAACCCAGCCTGCTCCTCGCGAGTCAATCTTTCTCGGGTTTTGAACAATCTACGAAGTATGACGGAAGCCAATAGTTTGGACGCAATCGAAAGTAGACCTATTCCCCAATAATTTTTGGATATATGAACCCCCTTCATTCCATGACATTGGGACACTCTAGCTCCCAGACCTTTGTAAACAACGTTGTTAGTTCCTTAGCCAGAAAGTCACCACCAGCTTTAAAAAGAGTCGGAGGTAAGTCATCTGGGACCGGTGATTTGTAGAGCTTCGAGAGTTGGAGTTCCTTGCGGACTTCCGCCTCATTTGGTGGATCAGTTGTCACCGGCCATGGACGGCACGACAGTCTGATCGATGTTGCCGAAGCAGCAAACCAGTTGAACTGCCCTTCAAAAAAGTCCTGCCCATCGTCCAAGACGTCGATGGATGTTAGTGATTGGCATCCTGTCATCCTCACAGATTGTTTCGCTCACACCAGACTTCTTGCTGCCAGTGGCTCGGATGAGCTGGAAGAGCTTCCGGCAGTTACCAGATGCAGCTGCTGCTTCCAGCTCATTAGCACGCATCGACCACCAGGCTTCTCGGTCCTTACGCAAGCTTTGCCCAATTTCCTCACGTAACATCCTTCGTTTATGGTCAAACTCACGGTCACCCGGAGTAGACCGACGGGCTTCAATGAGTTGTAAGGAACCAGAAGAAACCCAGTGCTTAAAAGCGGGACGTTTCGCAAACCCACAACTGACTGTTCCCGCCATTTTCATGGCGTCATGCAATTGCAACCAATGCTCATCTATACTTTTCGGTGGAGTGGTAGCTAGCCTAGAGGCTAGCTCGGTTCGATACTTACTTGCAACAGAAGTTGCTACCAGCTTGCTAACATCAATCCGTTGGTGGCGGTCAGTTCGTTGGCCAATGAAAACTAAGGTGAGATTGGCGCAGACCAAGGCATGGTCAGAGTCCAGATAGGTACTCCAAAAGGAGCGGCAGTCTTGCACACAACCACGCCAGCGATAGCTGATCGCGATGTGACCAACCTGAATTCAGGCTTGAGATGCAGAGGGAGGACGCCAGGTGGCACATCGGCGATGACTGTGCCGAAAGTTAGTGCTAGCTAGAAACAGGTCGTGGTCTGTGCACAGTTGCAGTAGACCGTCCCCGTTATCTGTCCTGCGACCAACGAGTCCCCATTGGTCACCTAAACGACTCTCTTCTGTGTCTAGACGCCCGACCTGAGCATTCAAGTCTCCGGCTAGTACTACAATATCTGTCGAACGCACTTTCTGGAGAACAGTTAACTGGTGGTAGAATTCATCCTTGATTGCGTCCAGGCTGCAACCTGTCAAGGTATAGGCGGAGATGACGAAAAGACATTGTTTCTCAAGCCGAGTTTTCGTCACTTTGATGGAACTTTCTAATCTAACAGCACATAACCGACTATTAATGGGGATCCAATCGATTAGTGCTGCCTCAGCTCTAGCGCTTAGTGCGACACCAACGCCAGCAAGACCAGACGAAGATGCCACAGGGTCCCCGGATAAACGCACGCAAAACAAGCCTTTTGAAGCGACAGATGGAGAGCGAATTTGTAGTACTTCACCAGAGTCTTGAATACGGGTCTCGGATAGACAGCAAACGTCGATATCAAGACTTTCTAAAGACATACCCAACCCTATCTGCTGTCCGATCTGCATAAGTGTGCGAACGTTGAAGGCAGTCAGTTTGAATGGTGCACGTGGTTTCAGGAAAACTGTTTCAGTATTCGTGTTCGCTGGAAGTATTCAATTTTTGACCAGTCAGTGACTCGAGATCGTTTAGGTAGAACAGTTTCAACCGTGGACGAGCTGCTGTATAAGTTGGAAAATGGGGATATATGAAGTAAGAATAGAGGTAGATAAGTGATGTAGTATACAGAAAATAGTAATAATGATATAGATGAATTTTATCAAGTGGATGTGAAATGTCTGTGTTCTGATCAGAGCGAACATAGTACTTTGTCATCTCATCAGATTTATGTGAGGGCTGTGATACTGCCCGGATGCCCAAACTGAAGCAGGTGGTTTTCTTAGAGGGTCACACGCGGAGCCTTTGACCTCAAGGTCTGATCCACAAGGCATCTCGGCCGTACCAGAGCATTTGGGGGCAATAAATGTTAATCAAAGCATAGCTGTATATACAGTGAAATATTATTTACGGTTGGCTTTCAGAATACACTTTGCTAGTAAGATGATGGTTGGAGGTAGTCAACAGGAAACCCTGGACCTAAGTTTCATGCTACTTAGCACTCGTCAGCAAGGTGCACCTGTAATCTTTAGGGAACTGATGCTCTCTGACGGATTCGATCCCGTGTCGCCCAGCTTCATAGTCAGAGACGTTACCACTGAGCTATCTGGGCCGCCTACTATAGGAATTAAATCAGGTTTAGAAATCGTACTATTTTGGTCTCCCACAAACTACACACATTCTTATTGTTAAGGGTATGTACGGATGTGGTAACCTACTACTGCCGAGTAACATCATTGAAGTCATAGTTAGGTAACAATCAATTTGAAGTTTGTTTCAGAAAGAAAGCAGCTAAAGGACCATGAAATCAATGTAAAACTCTAAGGACAGAATCTAACAACACTTTATTGCTTTCTTCATGGTCAGCGGAAATTTACTGACGAAGTTGGTCGCTTGCTATCTTTTTCAATCCAATTGAGCTACATTGTTTGATTTTTAAATAGGCCTTAGTTTGAGAAAAAGAAATAAACAACTTGTTTAAATTAATGGTTACAAAGAAGTGGGTGTTCACTCAAATCACTAGTAGATTTATCATGTAGTTATGGTTAATCAGATTGTGTAACTTAACTACAACGAACAAGATAAACCTACCTATAAGGAGGTCGCGTTTTCTCTCCACCCAGAGAAAATAAATCTTCTTTGAAATACCGACATATCATATAATCATTCAATAACTTTTTACGCCTTGAATGCTATTAATAGTAAACCAAACAAATAAGTCGCACTTGCTTCTCCATAGTTCGCATCAAATATATACAACGGACTATCATCTTCGTTTTCCTTCATATATCGAATAAAATACTTCATTTTTAATTTAACAGGACAACCTTTATCATCTTCACCACATTTGAACCTCTCATTGTGATACTTTTTATCCAAAAGCTAGAATATGAAACAGTCTACACAATACAAACTAAATACCTTTAGTGTCCAATTTTCACCAGCCTTCCAATCTGTTTGAGCGTTATGAATTACGACAGGTTGGTAAGGGTGTTCATATTCAGCTACAAATTCTTCATAAGCAACTTTGCAAGCATCAATACGTGGACAACAATCATGGACAGTACTTAGAGACAAGTTGAAGTTATCCGCATATTTACAAGAATACCAACTATGTGGAGAGTCGCCAAGTTCTGATCTGGCTTTTACTTTAGCCGATCGAATTCTGCGTTCATATTTACTACGTTTCGATGACATCTTAGATGTGAAAAAAACATTTCCGAGAAAATGATTTATCATTATTGATTAGACAATCTTACTTAAGTTAGAATAATCAGAAATTTGTAGCATTTAATCATTTTGTCACCCGTTCTAAACTCTATTAAGGATTTTATTCTATGTAGAGTTTTGCAAAACTAAAACAATCTAGATGTTGACACAAAACGAAAATACTGATAATATAGAATCTTCTCTTGACATCTCAGAGCCATACCTTAGTTACAAACAAACAAAAATGCACAAACTGAATAATCTATTTTGAGGTTACCTGATATATCACATACTTCCTCGATCATATAGGATGGGAAACGTTTATATTCACCACCAGGACAGAGGGTCACTTAATTAACATCATTGACCTTTGGCGTTACTGGTCACTTATTTATGGACAGCTTTTGAGCGACACTAAAAAGACCTTTAGAATGCCCATCTACATACTATGGCTAAATGAGGGTTATAAACCAGTGTAAGGAATTAGGGTTGATTATTACCATTGATAGTTAGGGTTAGGAATTCAAGACCTGTTGTCATAAATTTGATTGGTTTATTCGAACTGCTATATGATTACCAGTCTTTGCTGTTGATTTATTAGTAATACTGACCCCAAAAAGTGGTGATTCACAGGTGAAATCGGATACAAAGTTTTGCATGCTCGCTCCTTAACCAGGTTTTTACGAAGAATTCAGTTGTACTGATCCCAACCAGTTTATCACTTTTGAATAGATGTTTCATTTTCTAGACATTTAGTAACAAAGTCCGAACTCTCGTTTATAACTCAGGATCGTCAAAATGGTTTGCCTTGTCCTGATACCGAAAGCGGGACTTACAAGCCCCAACCAAATTGCGTAGGTCTGACGAAACATCTAAATGGACAGTAACATTTGCCTTGACAACTATCGCTGTCTCGAGTAGTAGTCTGATCAAAATACCAGTGAGACTAGTTTGTGGACGACTTTTAAGTGGTGCTCAAGTGATCTTGAGAATGCCTACTCACTCCCTAGGGTTATAAATTAGTAGGGAGTTAATTAGAATCTACAGCTGGTTGTTGGTTAATATCGGATTTAGTGCCAAAATGCTATTTAGCCATGTGGACGAATGAACTTCGCACTTAAATCCGAAACTTATTTCAAATCTGACCAGTTCTTCCACAAATTATGGTTTAGCTGCTGCTGTTGGGTTTCTAATCCACTAACTCAGCCTAATTTATTAGTCTTTAGGCTCCTCAATATTCGGTAAGTATTTAGCTGATTACTAGTTCATGCAAGAATATATTTTCAAAAACGACTTGATGCTTAATCTCTGAATTGCTTCCCCTAACTATAAGAATTAAAAGTCATCATTGAAGTTACTTTATTATCTGGGTCCTCAGTTAGGACAGCATACATCCTAACACTTCCCTTACTAAAATGACTCATACATTACAATTTATGGACGATCTGGAGCAGTTCAAAAACGGCCTCTCGCTATTTCAACCACTTGTTGGGTTTAAAACGCATTTAAGGTCATCATGAACAGATATTAGGTATGAGGATGCGCCACAGTAATGTGCATCATAGTTCGTGTCAGATCATTATGAAAACCCAAACTCTGAGTCTTAACCCTAGCATTACAAATCATTCATATACATATTGGCTATTTTCCTGATGACTAAACATGCCATGAATTTGTTACGGTCGTTTAGTGGGTTGCTTAGGATTACTCTTACAATTCAGCTTTAACTCAAAGGTATTTATCCAGGAAAGTCTTACTATGGTCCCCAAAGCGCTAGCAGCACAACTGCAGTAAACACGCACGGGATTTAAAAGACAAACTTTGTATGACCTTATTGGAGAAGATTAACAAAAATCAATCACTTCAAATAACTCTGAACAGAAAAGAAGGAACCTTCGCTTGACAGGCTTCCTTATCTGGCAGCAGTGAATCACCGATAATTCCAGGTAGGAACCTAGATTTATATGACCCGTGCAATTCCGGAACTCCGGGTTTATCATACAAAGAGCGGCTTGAAAAACTGGACCTCTTCAAATGGTTCAAATGGTTCAAATGGTTGTGAACGGAATAGAAGAAGCTTTCGCTTAACAGGCTTCCGTGTCTAGTAGCAGGGGATCACCAAATCCTCCAGGCAGGAACCTAGGTATGTTAACAGTAAAAAAGGAAAAGAATTTGGTAAATCATGTGATGCTGTCCTTGGTCCTTAAGAATAGGTCAAGTTGCCTCTTGAAGGACTCCTGAGAAGTCGCTTGGACTAGCTCGGCCGGCAGCGAATTCCAGCTTTTGACAACTCTTAAGGAGTAGAAGTTGTGTCTACATTCCGTCTTGCTATGTTGTATTTCCAGTTTCTGGGTGTTACCCCTTAGGTTATTATTCGAACTAAGCTTAAGTAGGTGTTTAAGAGGATGTCCAGAAGTGTTAAGAATGCTATAAGCCATTAGTAAATCACCTCTAAGACGCCTATATTCTAGTGGGTAAAGGTCTAGTGAACGGAGGCGTTCTTCGTAAGGCTTAGATTTGAGTCCTCGAACTGATTTCGTGGCTCGCCGTTGGATACGCTCCAAAGTGACTTTGTCCTTATGGAGTGAGGGGGGAGTACTATGTTTCCGTACTCTAAATGGGGACGGATGAAACTATTGAAGATTGTGTGGAAAGTTCTTCCGTCAAACTGGCCAAAAATGCGCTTCAACGTTACCAGTGCAAGGTTTGCTCGGAAGGCATTTTTGTCACAGTTAGCGTAAGACTTTAAGTCATGGGGCACCAGGACTCCTAAATCTTTTTCGACTTGGGATACTACTAGAGAGGAGTTTCCTAAGTTGTAACTGTAGTTTGCGACATGTCGCAGATGGACTACTTTACACTTTGAAGTGTTAAAGGTAAGTCCGTTATCGTCTGCCCAACTTTGAAGTCGCGTCAGATCCTCCTGAAGTGCCTGTGTATCGTCTTGGTTGCGTATCTCTTTCCAAAGTTTTACGTCGTCGGCAAAAAGTAATAAGTCTGACGTTACCTGTTGAGGAAGATCATATATGTAGATCAAGAAGAGAAGAGGCCCTAGTACTGAGCCCTGGGGGACCCCACTAGGACATTCCATAGCCTCAGATAAAGTGGAATTAACCCTAACCTTAAAGTGTCGATTTTTTAGGTATGAAGTAAGCCAATCGATTAAAGGTGGTTTGATACCTAGTCGTTTGAGCTTGTTGATAAGACACAAGTGGTTAACCTTATCAAAAGCTTTTGAGAAATCAAGGTAAATGACATCAACCTTTCCCTTGCAATCGAGGATGCTTGTCCATTTGTCCACCGCAGTCAGCAGGTTGGTTATACAAGAGTAACCCTTCCTGAAACCATGCTGTTGGGGTGAGAAGAAATTTAAGGACAGTAGATAGTCATTTAAACCGTCGCATATCAGGGACTCCATGAGTTTTGAAGGTAATGACAGAAGAGCCACCGGCCGATAACTTGAAGGTTCATTGCGTCGACCACCTTTGAAAATTGGTGTGATGTGAGCCAACTTCCAATTTTCCGGTAATTTGCCTCGGCTAAGCGAGTGTGAGAACATCACGCTAAGCGGCGTTGCCAGGATTGAGGCTGCCTCCCTCAGTATGGCAGGATGAACCATATCCGGGCCAGGATAAGTGTCAAGTCTTAAGTGCTGCAATTTCCGGAACACCAAGTCAGCGCTTAGTTCCACTTCAGAAAGTCCTGTGGAGTTGGAGATGAAACTGTCGTCAATAAAGTTGATGTCAGCCGGTTGAAATGTTTGAGAGTAATGGGCCGCCAGAAGGTTAGCGGCGTCGCCATCGTTGTTGGTTGGGCCGTTAAGACCTAGCAGTTGAGAAACTCCTGTTTTGGCTTGACGAAGAGAGGCTGCGTAACGGAATAGGCTTCTAGGGTTAGAGGCGAATTTGTCCATAATCTTTGTTTGGTACTGAAGCCTGTCTTCTCTTATAGCCTTCGTGCATGTGTTCCTGATATGTTTGTATTGCCTATACGCTCCATCGTTATTAGTTCGTTTGTATTCCGCCCAACAGTGCCGTTTGCGGCTTAGCAGGCGAAGGGTACGGTTCTTGATTACTGTAGGTGGCTTGAAGCTTTTGGGAACTGTTTGAGGAACTGAATGGTCTGTAGCACATAAGAGCGTGTGCAGTAAGAAGTCCCAATGACCATCCACATCGAGTTGAGGGTGAACATCCCAAACCACCTGTTGTAGATGGTCATGTAGAGCTGGCACATTCAGCCGTTTAAAATTCCAACGCAAATTATTGTTGGGATACCATAGCTTAGTTTTGATGACAAAACTGAAGGCTATGACGGCATGATCGCTTTTTCCCAGAGGAGCCAGGATTGAGAGGTTGTCGACTAGGAATTCTTCGTTAGTGAATACACAGTCTAAGCGCGATGGTGTCTGACTGTTTCTCCAACGAGTTGCCGACCTCACATTTTCATATAAGCCCAAGTCATCGATGAGGTTGAAGAACCGAGCTTCAATTGAGTTGTCGCCTCCAGTGTACGTGTGTTCCGCGAAGTTGACTCTAGGGAGATTAAAGTCCCCTAGAATCAGGATGTGTGTGAAACCGAGACGGATAGAGCGGGATAGTCCTTCCAGCATACGACTATCGTACTCGGTGTCGGCAGTTGGCTTCCTGTAAATGACTCCGACTAGACACCTGGAAGTACTAGACAATCTTACAGAGCACCATATGGATTCCTCAAGATTGTTAAACTCGAGGTTGTGAACCTGGTGCACCTCCAAGCAAGAGCTTATGTATATGGCTACTTCGCCCCCAATTCCTGTTTTTCTGTCGTTGCGGAACAAAGTCATCCCAGGCAATGCTAACTCTTGGTCCGAGAACAGAGAAGATATCCAGGTTTCAGATATTCCTATCAGATGGGCCTTATTAGCGTTGCTAAGTTCACGTAGTTCATCCAGTTTGTTTGGTAGACTCGCGGCGTTCATATATAAGCAGTTTATGCTTTCAATTTGGAACGCGTGAGCTTCGTCCTGTTTTTCTGTATGAACCTTACTCTATCCTATCGCAGAATAAGGGGAGATCTAATTTTGATGTACAGAATACTGAGAAATGATTTCGGGCCTAACTTATTCTCTCTCTTTCTTCCCACCAGATCGGGACACCTCAGGGGACAAAGCAGGCGAGTAGAAAAGCCTAGAATGAGCGAAATACCCGTGGCATACATGTTTTTACGCCGATTCATCAATACTTGGAACCTGCTGCCTGAAGAAGTGGTGTCCGCACCTTCAATCGACTCTTTCAAGAGAAGACTGGACACTCAAAGAAGCATACAAGAAAAGGAATAACATAGGCCGTAGGCCTTCTGTTCTTACTACACAAATCTGAATCTGAAAAGAAAAAATATGTTGGTACATAATGAAGGGATATTGTCTTTGGTCTTTAATATTATGCCAAGCTTCCTCTTTAGACACTTCTGTGAAGTCGCTTAAACCAGCTCATCACGTAAAAAATTCCAGAACCTGACTACACGTGAAGAGTAAAAAGTGTGCCTACAGTTCGTTCTGTTGCGTTGTGTCTCCAATTTCTGGGTGTTGCTTTTAAGGTTTGTGTTGAAAATGAGCTTATGTGGATATGTAAATGAATGCTCAGGAGTATTTAAGGTCCTGTAAGTCATCAGGAGGTCATCTCTGAGACGCCTATATTTTAATGTGTAAGGGTTTGAGGATGCCACAGGTATTCGGAGTTTGACAACGCTGTAACCAGTAACACCTAATATGAATCGTACCCACCCAGTAAAACCAAAAGACAAAGGCGGGGAGGTTCGAAGCTGTATTTGATAGGCTATCAATATATCGAGGATCGTCTGATGTAATCTGGCTAGTGATTGCAGGGGATGTTGAACACGGCGTTCCCACTCGTGATCTGGTGCGGATGCATGACCGAGCGCCTTTAGCTAGGTGAGTTCATTAAAACTAATGTGGTCAGCATCCAATGTCGAACACTTGAAGGGCTATTTGTTTTGGGGATTTATTTACCGCTACAGGTTCAGTCATTTGAGGAGCTCTTAATAAGGTTTGAATTCGGGTCTTCGAAGTGACTCCGTGACTCGCCGCTGAATACGTTCTAATGTATTCTTATCCTTTTAAAGCGAGGGAGGAAACATTATATTTCCTTGCTCTAAATGGGGCTGAATAAAACTGTTAAGGATTGCGTGGAAAGTTCTACTACTGAAGTGGCCAAAAATATACTTCAAGGTTACTTCACTAAATACTGTGGCATGTGTTGTTAATAGCCCCTACTACGATTTTGGTGTGACTCGTCAGTTTTCGCAGAAAAAACAATCTTTCGTGTCATAAGTGATAAATTTTCAATACCCAATATCTTTAACGTGAGTCGATTGGTTTTTTACATCCACTTGTTATTCCGGTACAGTTCCAGGTCTTTGACAATATCCATCAAGTGATAGTCTAACCGTTCGATCACAACAATCTTAGTTGTTATGTTAGACACTTGTGGGTTCGTTTATCTCTGCCTCACGGAGTGTAATGGTGAGGTTCTAGTACTGCGGCGCGTGCTACTTATGCTGTAAAATTTAAGTGGTGTACACCATCAATCAGAAGTAGAATATCTGCCGGCAGAAGACTGAAATCAAAACAGGATTGAAACGGCAGAGCAGTCAAAATAATGGCAAAACTAGAGGATCAGTGAAGTATATAAAGGACAACCCAAAAAAGTTGTGCAAATAATATATTTAATATATGATTTCCGTATTTCACTGAACGACTGCGTTATTTCGCGTTTAAAACTAATTAGTTTACCAGAGGCTTTACCAGAGAGAAACGTTAGGTGATAGGTCACCATCACAGTTTTTAAGCAACGTTCAAGTCTTAGTGGGCGACAACACAGTGGGTGAAGCAGATATAAAACAAGGATGAACACAAGCTCTCCCATGCTATGTCCAACACTGTTTGGATGCACAAGACCCTGACACCTATTTATCTCAGCGCGTATTGTAGGTAGAATATTGGAAAGAGGTCCGCCAACTGGATCACGCACGATACATCATGCACAAAAAGAAGAATCATCGAAAGACTCAGTCATAGCAGGACTCGTTGTGCGTTTGAAAAATCCCAAAGAGGTTGTTACCAAATCGTAAATGCGTCATACAGATAAGAGCAGGTGACCACAACGACCGAGATCCAAACCAAAGAACAGGTCACAAATGTGACAATCTGGGCAAGTCTATGGGTATTAATAGAAGCTTGGGGTCGAATCACTCAGGTGTAGTCGACTATGCGCCCGGCCTAAAAAGACATATATATATATATATATATATATATATATATATATATATATATATATATATATATATATATATATATAGAACAAATAACCCCTCTCCAGATTGTTACGACTGAGGAGGAGTAACTGAACAGTTGTTTGTTATGTGTTAGACAGAAATTCAGCATGAACTTTTCGGTGAATACTGGTGCTGCTCTCAATATCATTCCTTAGCAAAAAACTGAGTTGGGTGGAGAAACTTTCCTCAATTACACTTCAAGGGCCAAAACAAAACTAAATTCCCAACGTTTGAACAGAAAACTTTGACACTCGATTTGGGATTTACCAGGCAATTCTCTTGGGTTTTCACTGTAGCTGCTTTAGATCTAACAATACTTGGAGTGAACGTTTTAGAGAGATATGAACTACTAGTCGACACTAGAAAATGGTTTTTGACAATGAAAGGAAGTTTGAGTAGCACGGAAGGCGAAGAGTTACATCACTTCCTTAAGTTTGATACATACGCCACCAGCGAAAAATGCGAAATAACAGGATATACTCCCGAAACTTCGAAACCTAACCAAACCGAACCCTCAGCATTCTGAAATTGAACCAAAGGTAACTTATAAAAACAAAGCTGAAGGCTCACCGGCGTTCGCTAGACCCAGTGGACCAGCACCAGATAAGCATAAAATCACTAGGGCCGAGTTCGACTACATTCTACATCTTGGTATTATCCGTTCCTCTGATAGCTAATGGAAATCCCCTCTGATGGATTGTAGACCCGTCACCCGTCAAACTATACCATTTAGGTACCCAGTACCTCATACCCAAGATTTTACAAACGGATTACAGGGTATGATCACTGTTACTAAAATTGACTTGGTCAAGACATATCATAATATCCCAGTAGCTGAGGAAGATGTCTATAAGACAGACAATACTACACCTTTTGAACTGTTCGAGTTTGTTCGCATGTTATTTGGCCTAAGGAACGCGGCATAAACATTTCAAAGATTTTTGGATAACCTACTTTAGGATATGCCGTTTGCACAGGGCTATATATACGATTTGTTAATTGCCAGTCCCGATTTGCAATCACATGAACAGCATGTGAGAGCAGAGTTAAGACGGCTAGTTGAAAATGGAGTGAGCACTCATCAACGTAAATGTGCTTTTGGTGTTTGAACTTGGGAACTTCTAAGACACATGACAAGCCCAGAAGAAGTTAAACCTATCACAAAAGAAGTGGACACTATTAGACAATGTCCTACACCTAGTCCTCTAACAAAACTTAGAAGTTTTCTAGGTCTAATAAACTTTTGTCGAAGATTCATGCCCGGTTGTACTCAACTTATACAACCTTTGATAGATTCGACTGAACAGAAAACGAAAGAATTTAAACTGAATTCTGAGACTGTTGAGGCTATTAAACAGCTAGCAGAAAAACTGGCCTAAATGCCTGCGTTGATATATCCGAATTCCACTCCCTATTTGCTTTTATAGTGAATACTCCGGACAAATTAGTAGGCGGTACTCTTAACCAACTCCTTGAAACCGATTGCTTTCTTCTTAAAACGACTCGCCCCAGCTGATAGGAGATATTCTAACTTCTAACGAGAACTCTCAAACTACCTAATTACTAAGCATTCCCGAAACATGTTGGGAGGCAGGAAATTCATAGTGTATACTCATTATAGAGCCCTAAGCAATGCATTAAAAGCTAAAGCCGACGGATACTTCCCTCATGTAGTCCGATACCTTGTCTGTATATCACGGTCCCTTAGTGATATCCGACATGTCAATGGTTGGAACAATCAAGCGGCAGATGCATTATCTTAGCTAAAAGTTAACATTGTTCAACAGCCTACAGTAAACTTCAAGGCGTTGAGAGACAACCAGAGAGGGGATCAAGAATTGAGAAACCTACTTACAGTGAACATTCCGGTCCCAAACCAAAGCAGCTACCACTACTTACTGAAAGCATTCCAATTCATTGTGGAACGACCAAGGATTTCCCAGAGCTATGCGAAAATCAATATTTAATAACATTCATACTTTGTCTCACCCTGGCTCAAAAGCTTCTACTAAACTAACCAATGCCAGATATATATGGCCAATTTACAAAAAGATGTACACAAGTGGGTTCAAGAGTGTTTGGAGTATCAACAGTCAAAGGTAAACCGCCACACGAATTCACCCATCAGTTTTCTCACAGCCCATGTTCATATTAATCTGGTAAATCCTTTTCCACGTTACAATGATTTCACTTATCTATTCATATGCATAGAAAGACTCATAAGGTTACCAATAGCCATACCGATAAATGAATTACAGCTGAAATAGTAACCAAACATTTTATTCAGAACTGGGTGGACATTTTATGTACACCTCTTACAGTTACGACGGATAGAGGAGACTAATTTAAATCTGAGCTATCTCATCTTCTAGACTCCAACAGAATCCATTGCGCTGGATATCATCCCCAGGTTAATGGAATGATGGAACGTCTTCACCGTCGGCTAGGGGCTGCTCTGATATCATGGTCAAACCCCAGTCAGAAGGCAGAATTCCTCCTATTAGGTGTGTTGGAAAGAACAGTTGTCGAAACCGACTCACAGTGTTCGGCAGCAGAACTAGTCTCCGGAAAGTCTTTGAGACTATAGGGTGATTTTGTCATTCTTCATACTGACAGTAAAAAGCTTGATTTAAGAAGTACTGTGGACCAAATGCTCAAACTTGAACCAATGAATAATCGTGTAGAGCCGCAAGCTACATATGTACCCAAGGATCTGAGCAGTTGCATATAAGTTTTGGTAAGGTGTGACAGTAAAAGCACCACTTGTCCTGCATTCGAAGGTAATGCATAGTTATCTCAGGGAAACCTAAATATTTCGTGGTACGAAAACAAATAAACAATGAGTTAGTAAGTAATGGTTGGCTAAAACCGGCTTATCAAAATGCTGACCCGTTTGCCTGACCAACTAAACACAGAACTGACAAGTACCAACGAGAACTTTGGACGGGTGGCTAAAACGGTTGTATGAGCACAACGGATTTATCAAGCAGGTACATCTGAAGTTTTGTAACAATGTACCTAAGATTTTAGTTTATTAAACACTGTGCGTTTTTTCAAATAACAAAAACAAAAGAATAAATGTTTTATTCGTACTGTTTCATCGATTTGACTTTTTTAAAACACTACCAGAATAGTAGTAGTATTATATAATACGCTATCCACCCTTCTTTGGGTCCATATAATTATGATCTGCTTCGTTATTAGTGGTATCATAATAATAGATCTAGTACTAAAGTTGTAGATTTTGTTGGATTACAGTCTACTATGATATTAGTACTGTTCTAAAAATAGACTTAATCCTAAAATTGTAGATTTGTCATGATGTAACTGCCTAATCTATAAAATCTTACGTGGAAGTCATATCATCGTCTACACTAACTCGCTGCATCGTAACAACCAACAATACATGGTGGAGAACAAGCTTAGGCTAGAGATAGAACAACATATTTAATATGAGTATGAGATGTTAGGTTATTATTCAATAGGGAGCACGCCTGCAAGGCCGAGCCATGCCATCCGATCAATTCGAATTCATTTTAATTAACTGTTCTCGCCTTCTCTATCGTTGGGTTTTCTCCGCGTTAAATAATGAACATCTATTTCCCCAATTGTCTCGTATTCACCTTTGATGATTTTGTGGTTAAGGCCCAATGCCACTACAGTTTGTCATGATATAACTGCCTAATTTAGAAGATCTTACGTGGAAGTCACATCATTGTCCACACTGACTTATCGTATCGTAACAATTAACAATATGATCTCCGAAGTTTGTAAAGAACACATTTAGGCTAAAGATAGAATAATATATTTATTGTGAGTAACGATAAGTTATAAAGAACACGTCTGCGAGGTTGAGCCATACCATCTGACTGGACGACTTATCCTCGCGTTCTTCGTAGTTAACCTCTTCTTGTCAGTT